ATCACCTACTAGTGGTCCATGATGTTCTATTTTCAACCCTTTTAATAAGGGGGAGAACATTAGATGCTAAAATATTTTTGGTAGGAAATAATTATAAGGAGGGGATAACTTATTCAAGGGAAGAAATTTTTTTGTGGACACACATTGTTTTTTTTAATATACTCTGATACCTTATTCTTTTTCTACTCTGATATATGATAATTATGCTCAATGTTTTCACCACTCTGATACCTTAATCATTTTATGATTACTCTGATACCTTAATCATTTTATGATTACTCTAACCCCTTAGTCATCTTATGACTCATTACTCAAAACACTTTAATATTGTTTCTTACATGCTCTGATATAATTTGTTATGAATACTCTAATATATTGCATATATTGATTTATGACTTATGAAAGTCATTTTTCAATCATTTATATAATGTTCAAATAACTCTAAAATTGACTTACTTGCTATGATTTCATTCATACATACTATGATACTTTATGTGCTATGATACTATGAATTAATTCTTTGATAAACCATGAGCAATGATTGATTTTGAATAAATGTTGAGTACTATGAATATAAAGTTCTGATATATATAATTCAATACTTTGATATCTTTATGATCTAATGCTATGTAAAGAAATCTAGATAACTATCTTTGTCTTGATACACATGAAAAATATTTTTAAAAAAGATAGCTAAAACAACTAGCATGATAGAATTGAATGAATTTATATTTGAACAACTTTATCACGTCTAGCAAAATCTTTGATAGCAAAATCTTTGATAGCAAAATCTCTTATACTTTTTGTCTTAGCATAAGTATTTATTAAACATAAAAAAAGGGGAGATTGTTAAGACAATATCGTCTAAACGCTACAAGTTAAGACAAGGTCGTCTAAACAAACCTAGTTTTGAAGTTTAACACAACATTTGAAATAAATAGTGTTTAACAGAGTGAACCGTCTAGGATATTAAACGCAAAACGCTAAACACTATATATTAAAAGTATCCTAAATGATATAATTTACTCAAACATATAATGCCTAAACGATAATACTTGTATAATGCGAAAACGACTAAAATCATTTAAAACTTTATTGCATGTACGCCGTAGTACTTTACTGTCTTTTGTGTTGTACTCTCTTTTTCTGTGTAGATAGTATCAGTACAATACCTTTACTAAAAAGCCTACATCAGAATTAGAAGGATGTTTAGAGATATGAAGATATTCTAGGAATGTTTCCTTCATTATCTCTATCAGTCTCTTCCCAACACATCAGAATTGTCTCTGCAAGATGCTACATAGCTTCTAATCTAGTACAAAAGGCTACATCCCTATGTGAAAGCCAAAAGCTCTGAGTAACATATATTTTTCAAAGAAGCCTATATAAAGAGGATTTCACGAAATAACCAAGAATTATCTGTGCATACTATCTCTTGCTATTGTTTTCTTAAGCTTGCATAATCTAACGCTTGTTCTTTGAAAAATAAAAGTCACTTTACTAGTTTTCGTAATATCTTTGTATTGATTTTAAATCCTCTCTACGAGAGTTACATTTTCTATTCTTGTAATCTTGAAAACACTTTGCTATTTTCTTTCAAAAGTGAAGTAAAATACTTGTAAGTTTAACTTAGTGGAGTTAAAATTTTTAGTTAGTTAGACCAGTTCATACCAGGAGTGGTTATAATCGTCCTAACTAGTTGGGTCAGTTGTATACTAGGAACAATTAAACTTATTGTAATCATTTGTGATTAGTGGAACCCCTTAAAAGTGCTTAAGAGAGAACTATACGTAACTTAGTTTGGAGCGAACCAGTATAAAAGTAAGTGTACCTTATTGCTTTTGGTTTTCAAAGGTTTTTCCTAAATGTTGTTTTAAATATTTAAATGTTTAAGAAATATAGATCGTCTAACTCCTGCAAAAGAGATTAAACATTGTTTTGCGAAAAGATTTAAAACTCTATTTAAGCCTCCCTTTCTAGAGATTTCATCCTCCAACCATCCACATAATTATAGTAATTGCAATTACTCTAATAATGTTAAGCAAAAGACTATAATGAGATATCATAAACTGAACAACAAATAATCTTTATGATATTCATTGAAATTTTTTTGACTCAACTGCAAAATAGGTCTACAATAACAAAGATTTTCCAATGTAAATGAAAAAAAAAATAAAAAGAATCCTATCAACATGAATAATAAAAATTTAGTTGTTAGCAACCAAAATATAAAACTTCCAATAATTTCAAAGTCTTGGTCAAGCCATTGGTGCCCCTACCAAAATCAAGTTGAAGAAAAAAGAAGACATAAATATAAGATTTGAGAAACCTTAAGTTTTTGTTTTTAGATGAAATTTGGAATTATCTAATCTTGAGTAATTTAATTAATCTTATAAAAGTTTAGAATTTCAATTTGTTTTAAAATTTTCTCAAAAATAATATATTTCATCATTATGGTGTTAGGCCCAATATCAATTTAGTCAATAAGCCTAATGTTGATTTGGTCAACGATTTGATTTGGTCTAAAGAACTTTTAACTTTACATCCTACTATGCTAAGGTTAAGGGGATTATGAGTATTAAACCTAATACTGATTGAGTTAATAAGCTCATTATCGATTGGATCAATGATTGAATTTGATTTAAACAACTTTTAGTTTTACACTCTGTGATACTAAGGCCAAAGAACGATGTGGTGTTATTAGGTTTAGTATTGACTGGATTAATAAGTCCAATGCTGATTGATATGATAAATAAAATGCTAACTTGATTGATAATCATTAGGATAGTTATATATAAAAGACAAATGGTCAAATAAAGAAATATGTTAAAAAGGGAATATTGGAGTAAATAGGATGTTAGGAGAATAATAAAGACGGAAGGGAATTCAAGATGAGGAATGATGAGTATAAAGGGGCTTTGAGAAATGAAAAAAGGCATATTACTTTGAATACTTTTAGGTGCATGGTCTTAGTACTTTTTTTCTAGAACAATCATAAAAATTTTCAATTTAAAAAAAAATTACTCTTAAAATTCTATATTAAAAAATAGTATCAAGTTTTGTTTTAGTATTTTAGATTCAATTGATTAACGATAGAAAAGGAATAACCATCATCTTATGCATAAAGACTTTGACATTAGTTGATAAATTAAAAAAAAAAAATTGCTTCTAACATAATATTGATAGACAATGTAGCATGTTCAAATAACGTACAAATCAAACCAAAATAAGTTTTGAGGTTTAAAGGGAAAAGCCTAAATCCTAAATTAATTTCTTTGTTATTTTTTGTTAAGGGGGAAGGTAGCAAAAGCAATAAATAAAAAAACTAAATTTTAACCAAACAAAACTATATAGAAACCTTCAGCAGTGGGGTAAGATAATGGATTGGGCTGCCATAGGATGAAACATTTTAAAATTATTATTTATGGAACAAAGATTATCCGAATCCATTATACTCTATCATGTCATAACTTCAAATAACATTAATTTTCATAATCAATGTCCATAAAGTTTTGAACATATATAGTTCAATCCACCTGTTACACATGCTCTTTTGATTACACAAACTTCTCGTTGTCCTTGATCGCTTTCTGATAAGAGGAATCCTCTGGCTTATTGTCGTAATGTAGTAATGCAATAAAACTCCTAAGAGGACCTCCCCCAGTAGGATTAAGTAGAAGAAGACTAAATCCAAATTGGCAAATAGGGATCAACAAGAAACTGCATACTGCACTTATAATTACTAAAACCAAACGGAGTGAATCATTATCTATAACTAGACCTAAAAAAGATAAAAATACAATTGGCAATGATAAAAAGGAAATATACACACACAGTGTTGCGAACAACGTTGCCTTACGTGCCAATTCAGAGTCAAAAGTTTGAGCCACCAACATCAGTATACATGCAGCTGTAGAACTAAACATGGCCACTGTATTATGGATGCTGAAAAGCCAGAAACCTGGATCCTGAGCCAGAACAGCCTTCCCTCTTTTTTTTGAATTTGGGTCATCAGAACTGTATAGACCTCCTGGAACACTAAAAAAAGCAGTAAATGTCAGAGTGACAATCAAAGTGGCCGCAACTAAGAATGTGTTGGGATCTTTTAAATGCAAATCCCTTTTGGGTGATTGTTGGCGTTGAAGACGCAACATGTCATTTAACTTCACGGATACGCCAGCTTCGATCAAAACCGAATTGGCTACAAGCTGCACGAATTAGAAAAGTTAAGAAAAAAAAGAGTTTAGAAATTAGCATAAGAAGTTATGCATCATCAACAAGTAAAATTCGAGCTGTGATTTGGTATGTAATGAGAGAATAAAATGAAAATATGCAGCAAATTATAACTCTATTATTCAGACGTATTCATGATGAAACCAAAAGATTAGTTCTCACTCAAGTATCATATAATAGAATTTAATCTATTTTTGTCATTTTTTTATTTTATTTTATCCTCTTTGATACGCACATGGTACTCTATAGCATGACATATGGGGGGTGAAACCCTAGTATATCATTCTTAATCATACCTTTCGAAGAGTCTTCTGAGTATTTAATTCCAATTCAACAATATCTCGAGCTGTTAAATCGCGCTTATTGGTGATATTCACGTTAATCCTCTGGTCTTGTGATATATAATACAGAAGTTTTGGAAATAAATTTATGGAAGCCAAACGCAATGGCGTGTTTCCATCATTATCTCTATGATTTATAGCACACTGATCGATCTTCTGATTCCGCAATAGGTGTTGTACCACTTTAGTTCTTCCATTCTTCGCTGCAATTTGAAGAATATTTTAACCTTTTTGATTGAGTAGAACATAAGGATTAATGGGCAATTCATGTCGAAGGAATTCTTCGACCACCTTAATATGACCCCTTTTGCAAGCTACATGAATGGGAAAATTGCCCTTCTTGTTCCGTTCTAAGAGACTTTGGTTTGATTTTTCTGATAAATTTTGTATACGAAATCCTTCAACATAACCAGTGTAAGCTGCATAATGAAAGGGAGTACCCCCCTCTTCATCTCTCAAAGTAAATTAGCTCCTCTCTTTTCCCTAATATCTCTCTTATTAGATCTAGAATTCAACAAAACAATGTAAATTAATTAAAATCTTGCAAACAATAAGATTAAAAAATATTAAATACATATATTGTACTAACAGTTTTCAAACTATTTAGAAATTAAACATTAAATAATTATGTTTTTTTGGTCTATTAGAATAATATCATTTCAACCCTTTAAATCGACTTTATAGTATGTAAAAATGTCATAAAGAGATGGCAAAGTTAGTAAGTGTTGATTCATACAATAGGTAAAAGTATTTTAAAATATATATATATATATATATATAACAGGCAGACATTTCAAATCTATTTAATTCGTTGATTATGAATATTAGCTATAACGACATTTGGTGTGAAGAATTAATACCAGGATTCCTTTCTCGAAGGGCTGCATGGAGTGGAGAGTTTCCGAAACACTGTGGAAGTGGTTGATCAGCAGGAAAGGGAATTTGTAACAGCAGATCCAAAATTTTCACATCTGAACTCATGACTGACAAGAACAGTGGCGAAGACCTGGACTTGGTCAGATAATGTGCAACAGGCTCATCTGCATGTAAAATCTCTTCAACCACACCAAAATGGTCACTATAGACAGCTTCATGTAAAGGAGTATTCCCATACTCATTTGTTTCTCTTGTTATCTCCTTATCCTTCAAACCATCGTGTTTTGACTTCTCTATGGCATACTGAGACAGAATAAGCTTGACTATAGAGGAGTTCTTGGACCTCACAGCAACATGAAGTGGAGTATCACCTGTCACATTTCTTCTAGTAAGAAGCTCCGGAAAGTGACAAGAAATCAACTCTGCAATCTGTTCACTCCTAAAATCTGCGGCCACGTGAAGCAGTGAATCACCTGCTCCTGTTACCTGATCAAAAATATCAGACAAAGGCACCTTCCTTGCTGCACATTCTTTCCCCAATACATCAACAAAGTTAACCACATCCCCCTTTTCAACAGCATCATAAAGCTCAAAAATCACAATATTTTTCTCTCCAACAAGTTCCTTATGCGGTAGTGGTGAAGCTGCATCTTCTGCACTTGAGAATTGTGTATTCTTCAGCTCCTCCATCTTCTCCCTGCATCTCTGTTTCCGACTTGCGTCATCTGAGTGGATAGAAATCTGCAAATGATCATAATCCATCATTACGTGCTGCTAAAATCAAAAGCGAAAGCAATAAACTCTGAAAGATGGTAAGTGTATCTCAGCATACGAGAACAAGCAAAGCACAAGAACCTTAGCATATAATATATGCAAGGAAATGACGGAACACGTCTCTGTAAATTATTTTATTATTGAATTAAAATAATTGCTTGGAGCATTTTTCGGTGCATATATCTATATAATAATAATAATCCCTGGTTGACATGAAGTCAAATTTGTAAACCTTTCTAGCCATAAGCTGTAACCCTTTAAATCCTATTATATTTATTTTCTCAAATCATTATCTTAAAAAGAAGAAAAAACTACTTTCTCATTCATCTTAAAAATACCTGACATTTTCTCTAATAATATAATAATATATATTATAAATTTTTATTTAAAAAAATATAAATATAATTAAAACATTATTATTTTTTAGTGTCAAATGAATATGTATTGTCTTTTGTGTGAAAGTAGCATCACTCAAAATTAGCACCACTCTATAAAGAAAAGGAGATCTGGACAATAGTATAATTAAGGATCAAATATGTTTTTAGTTCCTAAACTATCAAATGAATTTGTTTTTAGTCTTTCTTTTAAAGTAAGGTACATTTTAGTCCTTCTATCTAAAAAAAATGTTAATTTTTTATCCTCCCGCTGTTAGTTTTGGAGGACCAAAAATTAAGATTTTTTGAAAGAGGAGGACTAAAATGTACCTTACTTTGAAAGAGGGACTAAAAACAAATTCGCTTGATAGTTTAGGGACTAAAAACATATTTAACCCTATAATTAAAAGTCGCCTCAATTGTCCTAGGCCAAGACTTCGTAAATAGTGTATTTATATATATATATATATATATATAATATACTTATAATATTTTTAGTGAATCTCTTCCTTTTAATAAATTTCTTTACGAATAATTTCAAACTTGAAAATGTTATTTTTCTTTAATGTGAATGATTTTTTTTTCACGATGACTATCTTCTAATATAGCACGTTGTCGAGCGTGTTAAATATTCTCTTAACGGATTAGACGTTCGACTTAAAATATAAGCTTTGAAAGAATCAGCTTGCGAGATTCAAAATAATTTCTATTATAGTGTTTGTAAGAACTTCCATTAAAAATAAAGGATCGTTTAACTTGGAAGTTCTTGTACTTTCAAATATAAAACTCAACTGCAGGTTTTACAAGATGATCATTTAGTAAAGAGAAGAGAGAATAACACAAGAGATTTTATACTGGTTCACTCCAACTGAGCTACGTCGAGTCTCCTCCATAGAGGATTTCACTATAATCTTCACACGATTACAAATGAGTATTAGCACCAATATTGGTACTCAACTACCTCGCCGAAATTTCCTTTGAGTATTCGCACCACTCTTGGTACCCAGCTCCCTGTCGAGATTTCCTTGAGTATTCACACCACTCCTAGTACTCAGCACCCTACCGAGATTTCCTTTGAGTATTTGAACCACTCTTGGTACTAGACTACCACGCCTAGATTCCTCAACTCAAAAGAGTTCAGTTGTAAGTGTTTTAATTCTCTTCATAATTGCAATCAAAGATTTCTTACAAGCAGTTTAGACTAAATCTCTCTACGATAGGGTATGAATACTATACAATACAGTCTAAACACTAACAAGTGTTTCTCTCTATGATCTTACAAAAGTAAGAGATTTGACGCTTAAGCTCAAGAGTATTTCTCTTTTCTCTTTTCTTCTCTTTTCTTCAGCTCATATGTAATCTTTTCTTTGAGCTCTTTTCTCTCTTCTTCTCTTTAGGATGGATATGATGTTGTAGCTTTGCGCACTTTGGCTATCCTTTATTCTATCATCCTGATTTTCTTCGTGATAGATCTTCTATTTATAGGCTTTATGAATATTTATCCGTTAGACAACGTTTGTAGTTCGTAGCCTTGATACCTACGTCTTCTCTTTCTTCTTTGTCAGAGCAAACATGTTTTTTTAGTCCTTTACTTGAAGTAGGTTGTACGATCTCTTTAGATTTTGCTTCAAGAGAGGAACATTCCATGATTATCTCTTTTGTCTCTAACGTTTAGATTTGATTTTTGATCTGTAGCACTGTGGATGTGTGTAACATAACTTATCTGCAAAATTAGAGTAAATTGTGCATAAGCATATATGACTTTTCTTATCACTTTTGTTGTTTTTAATGTTAGGCATTTAAAGTCATTTAATGTTTGCTCAGAACAATAAATTGTTTTTTGATTTCCTACCGTTAGATAGCATTTTACAATTAAGCTCTTTTAATTTGAAGAGAGAGAGAGAGAACAATTACACAAAATTGGGAATATTTTGTATTGACTAAACATTTTCTATAAGAGAGTTATTTCCATTTTGTGATCAAACATTTGAAAACCAGGAGTGGTGTAAGAATACTTGGGTCAGAAGTGACGAATAATATCAACTAGGATTGGGTTATACTTAACTAGAAGTGGATAAACTTAGTTTAGACAATTGTCTAGGGATGAATCCTAGGCTAAACTCGAACTAGACATGTTTTCTAAAGGTGCCGAGAGTGGCAGATAATACTCAGCCAAAAGTGAGTTATACTTGGAACCAGGAGTGATGTACGAATACTTGGTCTAGACAATTGTCTAAGGATAAAACTTGGAGAGACTAAACTCAAACTAGATGTGTTGTCTAGGGGACCAGAGTGGTGTAATAATACTTGAAACTAGGAGTGGGTTAAACCCGTTCTAATATTGAAAGATTAATGGAATCTCTTAAGAGTTCTTAAGAGAGAACAGGATGAGAACTGGACAGAGTTCAAGATTGACTGAACCAGTATAAAAATTGTGCCTTATTGTTTTCTTCTTTTGAAAACTATTGTTAAGATTCTTATGCCATCATTTGAAAGAATTTTTATTTACCTATCTCATAAACCCAATGTCTAAATAAAGTTCACTTTTGTATACTCTTAAGCCAGTAGACGCTGCTTTACCAAAATATTTTAAAAACATTATTCACACCCCTCCGTCTTCTAGTGTTTTCTTGTGTACTTCACTCGATTGTTTAATTATATCATAAGTATCCTTTTATAACTTATGGTTAATCTATTTAAATAATATATTAGTTATTATCATCCTAATATATCCTGATCACATGTTTGGTAAGTTTTGATAATCTATTGATATTCTTTGATACTCTGGATTTTGTAACAATTTGCATAGGGCTTAGATTTTGTAACAAAACATTGTCATCATAATTGCCTATAGAAATAGGTATACTAACTTGGTTCTGGACTATTATACCACTATCATCCTTAATCCACCCAACTTTGTAAGGCTTTGGATGAAGTGTATAATAGTCAAACCTAACTTTTCCACCAAACTTGAACTACAACAATTACAACTATCATCACTATTAATAATAACATAACAAATGTGATAAAAAAAAATCATTACATGTTGTGTGGAAGAGATTATCTTATTGTGATTGTTTTAATTCATTTGGTTAGTTTCTAAGAAGACTGCAAACCAATAACAATGCACCTTCACAAGGAAGAATTTCCTCTATAGAATCTAAAACTTCTTTTTCACTAGATGAAGAATGAGAGTCATCCAGGCTTCTAGTGTTTTGATCTTTCAAAACCATTATTCTTTTATGAGAACATTCAGAAGAAATGTGCCATCTTCCATAACGCTTGAAGCACTGGACACTTCTTGTTCTAGTTTCTTTAGACTTTTCGTCTTCTTTATTTTTATCTTATGATCCTTCATATTTATTTTTGGACGGGTAGACCTGCCTCTTGCACACAAAATAGTAGAACTTGCCGCAATGAAATAATAACAAGAGGTCAAGTTCAAAATTATTATCAACACCCTCAATGCCCTTACGAACCAACTTTTCTCCAAACTTGCCCAACCACCACAACCTCCACTACCACCATCACCTACTAGTGGTCCATGATGTTCTATTTTCAACCCTTTTAATAAGGGGGAGAAGATTAGATGCTAAATTTTTTTTGGGAGGAAATAATTCTAAAGAGGAGATAACTTATTCAAGGGGAGAAATTTTTTTATGGACACACATTCATTTTTTTTATATACTCTGATACCTCATTCTTTTTCTGCTATGATATATGATAATTATGCTCAATGTTTTTCACCACTCTAATACCTTAATCATTTTATGATTACTCCGACCCCTTATTCAGCTTATGATTCATTACTCAAACACTTTAATATTGTTTCTTACATGCTGTGATATAATTTGCTATGATATTTTATTACGAATACTTTCTAATATATTGCATATATTGATTTATGACTTATGAAAGTCATTTTTCAATCATTTATATAATGTTCAAATAACTATAAAATTTACGTACTTGCTATGATTTCATTCATACATACTATGATACTTTATGTGCTATGATACTATGAATTAATTCTTTGATAAACCATGAGCTATGATTGATTTTGAATAAATGCTGAGTATTATGAATATAAAGCTTTGATGTATATAATGCAATACTTTGATATCTTTATGATCTAATGATATGTAAAGAAATCTAGATAACTATCTTTGTCTTGATACACATGAAAAATCTTTTTAAAAAAGATAGCTAGAACGACTAGCATGATAGAATTGAATTAATTTATATTTGAACAACTTTATCACGTCTAGAAAAATCTTTGATACCAAAATCTCTTATACCTTTTGTCTTAGCATAAGTATTTATTAAACATAAAAAAGGGGGAGATTGTTAAGACAATATCGTCTAAACGCTACGTGTTAAGACAAGATCGTTTAAACGCTACAAGTTAAGACAAGGTCGTCTAAGCAAACCTAGTTTTGAAGTTTAACAAAGCATCTGAAATAAATAGTGTTTAACAATGTGAACCGTCTAGGATATTAAATACAAAGCGCTAAACGCTATATATTAAAAATATCCTAAATTATATAAATTACTCAAACATATAATGCCTAAACAATAATACTTGTATAATGCGAAAACGACTAAAATCATTTAACACTTTATTGCATGTACGTTGTAGTACTTTATTGTCTTTTGTGTTGTACTCTTTTTTTGTGTGTAGATAGTATCAGTACAATACCTTTATTGAAAAGCCTACATCAGAATTAGAAGAACGTTTAGAGACATGAAGATATTCTAGGAATGTTTCCTTCATTCTCTATATCAGTCTCTTCCCAACACATTAGAATTGTCTCTGCAAGACGCTACATAACTTCTAATCTAGTACAAAAGGCTACATCCCTATGTGAAAGCCAAAAACTCTGAGTAACATATATTTTTCAAAGAAGCCTATATAAAAAGGACTGCATGAAATAATCAAGAATTATCTGTGCATAGTATCTCTTGCTATTGTTTTCTAAAGCTTGCATAGTCTAACACTTGTTCCTTGAAAAATAAAAGTCACTTTACTAGTTTTTGTAATCTCTTTGTATTGATTTTAAATCCTCTCTACGAGAGTTACATTTTCTATTCTTGTAATCTTGAAAACACTTTGCTATTTTCTTTCAAAAGTGAAGTAAAATACTTGTAAGTTTAACTACTGAGTGGAGTTAAACTTTTTAGTTAGTTAGACCAGTTCATACTAGAAGTGGTTATAATCGTCCTAACTAGTTAGGTCAGTTGTATACTAGAAGCGATTAAACTCATTTTAATTCTTTGTGATTAGTGGAACCCCTTAAAAGTACTTAAGAGAGAACTATACGTAGCTTAGTTTGGAGCGAACCAGTATAAAAATATGTGTACCTTATTACTTTTGGTTTTCAAAGGTTTTCCCTAAATGTTGTTTTAAATATTTAAGTGTTTAAGAAATATAGATCGTCTAACTCCTGCAAAAGAGATTAAACATTGTTTTGCGAAAATATTTAAAACTCTATTCAAGCCTCCCTTTCTAGATATTTCCTGTGTTACACTTTGCAACTACTCTAATAATTTTAAGCAAAATACTGTAATGAGATATCATAAATTGAACAACAAATAATCTTTATGATATTCGTTGAAATTTTTTTGACTAAGTGAAAAAGAGGTCTATACAATAACAAAGATTTTCCAATGTAAATGAAAAAATAAATAAAAAGAATCCTATCAACATGAATAATAAAATTTAGTTGTTAGCAATCAAAATATAAAACTTCCAACAATTTCAAAGTCTTGGTCAAGCCATTGGTGCCCCTACCAAAATCAAGTTGAAGAAAAAAAAAAGACATAAATATAAGAATATGAGAAACCTTAAACTTTTGTTTTTAGATGAAATTTAGAATTATCTAATCTTGAGTAATTTAATTAATCTTATAAAAGTTTAGAATTTCAATTTGTTTTAAAATTTTCTCACAAATAATATATTTCATCATTATGGTGTTAGGCCCAATATCAATTTAGTCAATTAGTCTCATGTTGATTAGGTCAATAATTGGATTTGGTCTAAAGAACTTTTAACTTTACATTCTACTATAGTAAGGTTAAGAGGGTTATGAGTATTAAGCCTAATACTGATTCAAGGAATCGGGTATTAGGTTCAATATTGATTGGATTAATAAGTACAATGTTGATTGATATGATAGATAAAACGCTAACTTAATTGATAATTATTAGGATAGTTATACATAGAAGACAAATGGTCAAATAAATAAAGATGTTAAAGAGGGAATATTGGAGTAAATAGGTTGTTTTGAGAATAATAAAGACGGAATGGAATTCAAGAGGTCGAGGAATGATGAGTATAAAGGGACTTTGGGAAATGAAAAAAGGCATATTACTTTGAATACTTTTAGGTGTATGGTCTTAGTAATTTTTTGCTAGAACAATCATAAAAAACTTCAGTTTTTAAAAAATTAAATTACTCTTAAAATTCTATATTCAAAAATAGTATCAAGTTTTCTTTTAGTATTTTAGATTCAATTGATTAACGATAGCAAAGGAATAACCATCATCTTATGCATAAATACTTTGATAGTAGTTGATAAATTAAAAAAAAAATGCTTCTAACATAATATTGATTCACAATGTAGCATGCTCAAATAACGTGCAAATCAAACCAAAAAACGTTTTGAGGGTAAAAGGAAAAAGCCTAAATCCTAAATTAATTTCTTTGTTCTTTTTTGTTAAGGGGGGAGGTAGCCAAAGCAATAAATAAACAAACTAAACTTTAACCAAACAAAAATATCTAAAATAGAAACCTTCAGCAGTGAGGTATTGCTCCATAAGAAGAAAAGCTCAGAAGATGATCGATAGTGGCTGACCAGCTTTTAACAAGAAGATAATGGATTAGGCTGCCATAGCATGAAACATTTTAAAATTATTTATGGAACAACAATCTTATATTCTTTAAACTAGAGCAAAGATTATCCGAATCCATTATACTCTATCATGTCATAACTTCAAATAACATTAATCTTCATAATCAATGTCCATAAAGTTTTTAACATATATAGTTCAATCCACCTGTTACACATGCTCTTTTGATTACACAAACTTCTCGTTGTCCTTGATCTCTTTCTGATAAGAGGAATCCTCTGGCTTATTGTCGTAATGTAGTAATGCAATAAAACTCCTAAGAGCACGTCCCCCAGTAGGATTAAGTAGAAGAAGACTAAATCCAAATACGCAAATAGGGATCAACAATAAACTGCATACTAGACCTATAATAACTAAAATCGATCGGAGTGAATAATTATCTAGAACTAGACTTAAAGCAACCAAAAATACAGTTGGCAATACTGAAAAGGAATTATACAAACACACTGTTGCGATCAAAGTTGCCTTACGTGCCAATTCAGAGTCAAAAGTTTGAGCCACCAACATCAGTATACATGCAGCTGTAGAACTAAACATGGCTATTGTATTATAGATGCTGAAAATCCAGAAACCTGGTTTATGATCCAGAACAGCCATCCCTGTTTTTTTTGAATTTGGGTCATCAGAACTGTATAGACCTCCTGGAACACTAAAAAAAGCTGTAAATGTAAGAGTGAGAATCAAAGTGGCCACAACTAAGAATGTGTTGGGATCTTTTAAAAGCAAATCCCTTTTGGGTGATTGTTGGCGTTGAAGACGCAACATGGAATTTAACTTCAAGGATACGCCAGCTTCGATCAAAGCCGAATTGGCTAGAAGCTGCACGAATTAGAAAACTTTACAGAAAAAAGAGTGTAGAAATTAGCATAAGTTAAGCATCATCAACAAGTAGAATTCGAGTTGTGATTTGGTATGTAATGAGAGAATAAAATGAAAATATGCAGCAAATTGTAGCTCTATTATTCAGCATATTCATGATGAAACCAAAAGATCAGTTCTTACTCAAATATCATATAGTAGAATTTAATCTATTTTGTCATTTTTTATTTGATTTTATCCTCTTTGATCCACACATGGTACTCTATTGCATGACATGGGGTGAAACCCTAGTATATCATTCTTAATCATACCTTTCGAACAGTCTTCTGAGTATTAAATTCCAATTGAACAATATCTCGAGCTGTTAAATCGTGGTTATTGGTGATATTCACGTTAATCCTCTTGTCTTGTGCTATAAAATACAGAACTTTTGGAAATAAATTTATGGAAGCCAAATGCAATGGCGTGTTTCCATCATTATCTCTATGATTTATAGCACACTGATCGATCTTCTGATTTTGCAATAGGTGTTGCACCACTTCAGTTTTTCCATTCTTCGCTGCAGTATGAAGAATATTTTGACCTTTTTGATTGAGCAGAACATAAGGATTAATGGGCAATTCATGTCGAAGGAATTCTTCAACCACCCCAAGATGACCCCTTTTGCAAGCAACATGAATGGGAAAATTGCCCTTCTTGTTCCGTTCTAAGAGACTTTGGTTTGATTTCTCTGATAAATTTTGTAACAATATACGAAATCCACCAACATAACCAGTGTAAGCTGCATAATGAAAGGGAGTACCCCCTTCTTCATCTCTCAAGTAAATCAGCTCCTCTCTTTTCCCTAATATCTCTCTTATTAGACCTAGAATTCAACAAAACAATGTAAATTAATTAAGATCTTGCAAACAATAAGATTACAAAAATATAAAATACAATTGTACTAACAGTTTTCAAACTCTTTAGAAATTAAACATTAAATAATTATGTTTTTTTGGTTATTAGAATGATATGAATTCTATTTCAACCCATTTAAATCGAATTTATAACATGTAAAAATGTCAAAAAAAAAGATCACAAAGTTGATAATTAAGTATTGACTCATTCAATAAGTAAATGTATCTTGAAATATATATATATATATATATA